CGTCGGAAAATTTGAATTAAACTCTTAAAGGCGACCTATTTGGGCATAGCTCAAGCTTTATTTGATCCCTAAAAGATACCACTTAAAACGGAATAGGCTGGATCACCAGCTGCTGATCAGGAAAGGGGCTTGTGCCAGTAGACCGGACTCAGGTTTAAAAAACGACAAACACTGAGCATTTCTTTTTTAATTATTATTTCTTCAAATGCATCCTAAGGGATACTGTGGCAGCTGAAAATATTGGCGTTATGTCATCGACACCCTAAGTGAGACCAAAATCCTTGATTTACACCCCTAAGCGAGATGACGAGAATCACCGACCTTTTCATTTGGGAGTTTCCTCCTAGGGATTGGCATGTCATACCTGTAGCTTTCATAACGTCTTAACACAGAAGACAACGGGTTGAATATTATTAAAATAAATACTGTGATAATGCAACTCAGTATCTACCAATGGGAAAGAATTCATACGTTTCCAAATTTGCTATTACGCGAAGTGCAAAGGTTACTCTAAATGGCAGGTTCGTGAAGTTTGCTTTTCACTGTAGCGTTCAATAACATTGCGCCTTCATAGGCCTGTACTAAAATCACTTAGAATATTTCATCTCTGAATAAACCATTTAAAATCACTGTCGCATGTAGTTACAGTTATTTGGAAGCCTTTTAGGGCTGGCAAAAAGAATTTTACGAAATAAAACGTAACGTAGCTTTTAATAACGCTTGAAAAACCACAAGAGATTGTAAACAGTTCAAAAGTAAACAGGAAGGGATTGTTTTAGTACAAAGTTAAGCGCTTCAGTGGAGTGGAATCTAAACTAATTATATATTAACAAAGTGGGCAAGAAAGGCCAAACGGTTTTAATTATCATTTGTGAACACCTTTGTCGAAAAACTGGTGCTTTTGTTGAAAAAAGAAATTACTTGTTACTAAAAGCCAATTGGTCCCTTGAATTTAACTGTCATTGCGGAAATAAAGCAGGGTTGTTTCAATTTTAACGCTTTTCAGTAATTTGGCGATGTGTCTGTGACCGCGAATCGAGGTATAGAAGCGTGTAAGATTAAACCCCTTCACTAATTTAAAACAAATTACGAAATTTTCAAACCAAACATTACAGAGAAGAGTGAAGTGGCGAACACATATTTTTAACATGGAAACAGTATTACACGTTTGGCCAGAACGGAGTAGAAAAAAATAGCAGCACTGTTTATCCTCTCGGAGTGAGAAATGGCCGCCGTGCTTTTCAAGTACACCTTCGCTAAGGCAAAATCTTCAAGCAAGGATCATAGCTCTAATTACCAGAGGAGATCAGTCGAAGCATTTTTGACAGGTAATGGCTGGCATTCCGCTGGGAATCAAGTGTTTCATTCTGACCCCTCGTTTGGCACTGCTAAAGAACAGGTGCTTTCTCAAGCTAAAGCACTCCAAGACATCGAAGAACTGATAAAGTGGAAACCATCGCTAAAGGAAAGTTTTAAGGACACCCTGATAATGGTGGGCCAGGTTTACGATATCGACTCCTTGTTGAACACGCCCGAGGTTGTCAATGACAAGAAACGCGCAGCAAAAAGTCAGAATGGCAAGAAATCACTGCTGCTCGATTTGAAATCCCCTCGAGAATACTCGGCCACAAAGAAGCCCGTTTCTCCACACTGTTGTAAGCCCGAGTTCGATAGCACTAACATAACGGCAAAACCCACAAAACTCGGTCAGTCAAGCGTCGCTCCAGAAAGCCCGAAGCTCAAGGTGTCCCGTCCCGCGAGTACTCGCCCGATGGGTTCAGCGTCGAAAGTGTCAAGTCGGCCAATTGTAAACTACCCCAAAGCACCTGTCAAAACCGCAAAGAACACCACGGCCACAGGTATGTTGATCTCCGGTCGCTGCTCAAGCGATATCAACTCCAATCTGTTATCCGCACTAGCACACCGGGCCGACACGGCGTGCGACGAGGACGATATGACACCGCTCTATCTCCCTTGCCTGGAAGAGGAAGACGAAGGGGAAGCTGAAGACAAGCTGGGCGTAAACAGACGCCAGGGACAGGCGTACGGATGTCGCAGGTACGGCAGCTATCACGTAGAGACATTCGTCAAGATGGACAACTGCGCCAGGAAACTCTGCTGCAGTAATATCAACGTGGATCCGTCGGAACGTGTCTTGGTCTAAGCACGCTCTATCTCCATCGGAAAGGGAGAATGAAGGCAATATGGGTTCTTTGATTGGTTAATTTTCAGGATCGTGGCGTACAGTACGGCCGCTTTCCAAGTGCTTGGCCTTAAAAAGTTTTTCTTCTCTTGAAGGAGAGATACGCATTTCAAAAAACTTGTAAGCTTTCTTTTTTCGTAAGATACGGATCTTACGAAAAAAAAAATGGCATCTTAGGGTGCGTTCCTTTGGGGTGATCTGGATCAGGATCAGTGATCCAAGATTATTTAGATCAGGGTACATCAAAGGAACCCATGAATCCACTCTGGTCACGGATATCCTGATCCAGATCAGCCCTAAGGAACTCACCCTTCCCAGTACGGGTCTTAAATTTTTAAGTCAGTTCTCGTCACGAACTGTAGATTACTTTACGAAACTCGATCAATAAGAAACATTTAATATTCCTTCTCTAAGCTCTTAGACTAGCAGTGGAGTCGGCAGTCGCAGTGGTACTACTGCATGGCAGGAGCAGTAGCGGTAGCAGTGGTAGTGGCGGTGGTAGTTACAGTGGTTGTAGTCGTGGTATTGGCAGAATATACAATAATATACAATTACTGTATACAGCATACAAATTACTTAACGCGGTTATACAAATTGCCGGACCTTAAAGAGAATTAGACTCTTCGTACCTTTATTGTATCATTACTGAGTTATCAAATAAAGACAGTGTAAAACACACAAATCACGCACGATTATTTACTACTGCGTATTTACAAGTCTATATATATAAGATTTTATGAGTCCGTGTGAAATAAATATTGACTTCACAAACGGGCGATCAAATTAGCCAGTCTGAGACACTCTTCGAGATATTGTACAAACCACGAACCCTCACAATCAAGTTAATAAACAGCCGGTTTCTCTTCAGAGTAATTTTTAGTGGAGTATCGATAGTAATTCAAAATTGCTTTCATTGGTTTTGCTTTACTACAAATGTGAGTGGTTTAGAAACCTCGCGATACTTATCTAACCAATGAGATGCAAAACAACCTTCCCCCTCGACCATCAATCGCGACTTGATCGCTCCCGTTCTGCCGCGCTTGACGCTGGTATAGTGTATTTGTTTCATGTTTTCATTGGTTTGTTGTATTCTGTACGTTAATCGTGATTGGCTATGGCTTAGCATTCGTTTTATTTGGACTTAGTCTGTCAAGCGAGGCTGTAAACAAACCGCAAGGAAAAAATGGCAGGATTACACGTGGCTATATTTTTTCTTTCGCGTCACGCAAGACGGACTGAGCGAAAGTGGGACCGTACTCGTTGTCTATATTCGAACTTCATATTTCAAGCACAAAGGTGATAAGGAGGAAAAATTAAAACCGTGTAGCCATTCGTACGCAGGCTAAAAGAAAGACCACAACATTCAAAACAACTTTTTGCGTACAAAATATCAATCATCACTATATACAGGGAAAGAAGATTTCATAAATATTTGAATATATTTTTTTATGTGATCGTTCAGTCTTTATCGAGGCTGTGAATGATTCTTGGACTCGACACTCCTCTTCTGACGAATATCCCACTAGTTGTTGTATCTAGTCGCTTGTTTTTCTTTTTCTTGCGTCTTAGTGCGGTCTGTTGATTTGTGGTGGAAGATCGTTGAAATTCAGACTGCAATGTCAAAAAACAAATAATTACAAGACGAACAAAATAGGAAACAGGAAAACGTAGCTAGACGCAAAACATGATTCAAAATGCAATGCAAAATAGACGGTCAGAGGAGAGGGTTGTACAAATCTTCTTGGAGGCAACAGTAAGAGTTAACTTCAAGTTAATAATCCAAGAAAGAGGGAAGAAGTACGAGAATACGGGACCTATAGGTAGGTCCGTTACAGCAGGCTCGAGTGCAACGAGGTTTTTACAGGGGAAGACTGAGAGCCGAATCAAATCCCATGAGAGTGGTCACATGAAACAAGAAAAGCACGAAGATAAAAAAAAAAAGAAAGAAATCTCAGAAAACAAAAGCAGAAAACAAATTGTAAATTTCAATTAATCTATAACACATGAAGAAAAAGAAAGAAAAAAGGAGCGTTCCCGTGCGATTTTATTCCCAACAATAAGTTTGAAAGCTCCCATTCTTGTATCTACAATTTGACATTAAGACAACAAGTCGATAATACGCGCCAAGAAAACAAAAATTGACACAGAAATGTCTGCGCACTCTCTAATAAGGGGAAACACTCACCGCTGTAACATGTCTGCTACGCTCATCCTCCAGCTGAAGAGTCAGAGTGTGAATCTGAGCCCGCAGTTTGTCCATTTGGGCTTCAAGTTTCTCTCGTTTTTCTCGCTCATACTCAAGCTGAGCCTCAAGCTCGCGGATAACCCTGAATCAACAAAACTTAAAAGTTAAGACCATTTGTAAGACGCTGGGATGGGTAATATCTTGTGCATTGATAGAGAAAGGGTTCCAAGTTAGGTTAAATCCCAGAGGCTCTAGTTGCATGATGCGCGCTGTTTTCGCCGTTAAGGTTGCGATGTAACTCAAGTATTCCGATAACAACAAGCTGACATCAGCGCTTTTAAATACCGGAATACCTGAAACTCAACAATAACGATTTCATTAAATTGTAGAACGGTAATCAACAAATGACAAGAACTCAATGAGACTTTATAACGGCTAACAATGGCGAAGGATGAAAATGAACACTCGGGGATCACTAGGTTACGAAAATTAATACGCAACAATAGTTTAACCGAACAATTAATTATCTGCAAGTTATTAATGTGTATTGATAGACGAATGCTTTCACTGACCTGGCACTTTCTCTCTCCTCTTCATGTTTCTTCTGATCCTCATCTAACACGCCTCCCAACTGTCTGTAGTTCATTTTAGCCACGTCCAACAGGTGAGCTAGCTCGTCAATCTTACGCTTTGCCCGACCTGGTAACCCAAGGAAAGAAAGAGCTATCAAAGTTTAGTAAAAGTCTAGTAGCGCTCTATCACTGATTGGCCGCGCTACTCACTATCTATTCTGCGGTAGATAGTGAGTAGCCTAGCTGTGTGCGGTTGTTTACAAAATGACGGCCGCTTCCTGGCGTTTTTGATTTACGGTTACTATGATAGTAAATAAGTCGTATTGCTTGAAGAAGAGTTATTTATTTTACAGTAAGTGCATGTGTATAATAATATAAAGGAAAAACGAAAAAGAAAAGGGGAAAAAGTGGTAAGACAGATCAGAAAGGAAAGCATAGCCGTCACCCAAAAAACGAAACTGTATACGAGCAGAGAGAAAACAAAGACAAACGCGTTCGACGCTTGATGAATCAAAGAGAAAATGTACTATGGGATGAAGATCAGAGAACATCTCTACATAGCACATAGCAAATGATAGCAAGTACATTAAAAGCACAAGAAACGAGAATAGGGATATTAAAGACACACGGGTTAACACGGTGGAAAGCTTACTTCCTTGTGGGACTATTCAAGTCAGCAAGTCAGCAGGAGTTGATCTACATGTCCCTTCAAATTCTCCCAAAGCTGTTATAGACAATTTATTACGAACGAGGGAGATAATTTCTACGATGAACTATGGGTTTGATTACAGTTTTAAGATGAGAAAAATACAGCAGGAGACCTTAGTATATGTTGACGAAACCAAGTACGTAAAAGTCAAGGCTGATCTTGGCGCTAACATAGTGCAGTTGTTGATACCTTGAGCATCTTCAAGTCGTTTCGACTTCGTTTCCTCGACAAGATCATCCGAGGTTTCCAGAGGAAGAGATGGAGGGTCATTACCTTCCGGATCTCGGTCGTCATAGAGAAGAAATGGAAAAGCTAGAGAACAAAGTGGAGAAAGGAAACAATAGCAGAATAGAATGTCTCCAACAAGACACGAAGGCGGCAGAAGACAATTTTGAGCGTTATGTGCCTTGACCGAGCAAACCAAGAAACCAAGTCTTAAGTTGACGAGTGTAATTGCAAGAGTTACAAAATTGGTTAAGGCAAAGTAATGTCATCAGCATGGAAAATATAGTAGGACAGAACAGATCAACAGAAGCGTTCGTTGATTGCAGTCATCTTAGCAAAGAGCCACGTTGTTTGTTCCTTTTCGACAAAGTTGGCATACTGCTTACCAAAAATAATGAAAGAGAACAAGAGATGCATAAGAAAACATGAAAGAATCTAAAAGAGGTGGGTGGGTGGGGGGTCGACAAGAAAAACAATGCCTCTACCCTTAGAATAAAAGAGGTGCAGCTAAATAACAAGAACGAATGAAAATAGAGATTTTAAAGAGGTGCAGGTCAACTGGTATGGGGAAGCAGTTCTTCGGTAGTAACAACACCAGGAAAAGTGGCGATACTATAAAATACTCCTGGTATCAAGACATTGCTCTGGATTGAAACTGACAGAAAAGGAGAGATAGATTGAAACTACTAATACTGAAGGTCAATCAGCATTCCATGAAAAGAGGAGATAAGAGCAGGGGTTTTTTTTAGTGAAGGGCGGAGGTGAGAGCGGCAGTTCGCGCTCTTGGAAGTCTCTCAGGTAGAAAATTTTACCCACTTCCACGGAAGAATTTTGATTCAGTTTTAAAAACTGTGAATGAAGAACCGGGAATTATATTAACACCTCTAGCTTCAGCTTTGGACTGTGTTTCGGAAGGCTTGAAGTCTTCGGCTCCTTCATCTACAAGGTTTTCTTCATCATCTGATGAACAAGAAAAAA